CTCGCTTCATACGAATCCATATTATACGAAACTTGATTCTCTGCTGCCTTTCCAACACAACATCCACAACAACTCTTCATCATTTCTCCCAAACTCCAACAATAATCTGAGCAACATGACCCACAATCACAACACTCAAAATCACTGCAATCCATTCGTCCACATCCATTCGAACAACATTCGGAACAACTTGAGAAACACATTCTGCATCCACCTCCAATCATTGAATATCCAGCAATGATACAACAAAATCCAAATGCACCAGCACTCACAGCCCATTTAAATAGTTCAGAATCGGATTTGGAAGACGAATACGAATAATCACTTGGAGTGTAGAGGAAGAGGACTCCCAGGGCAATACTGACGAATCCAACGATGAAACCAAAGATAATGAGGCCAATTCCTGCAAAGATGGTGAAAGTGGCCTTTCTATATTCACGCATAGTGTCTCGGAGTGACATTTTTTTTTGTTGAATCGACGATGAAAAAAATACCTCAACAAGACCATCCTCCGGATACGGAAGGGAGTAATTTGCTTGCTGACAGGATTTTTGTGTTAGAGAGAGCAATTGAAACCTACCAAAAGGAAAACAATAATCTCCGTGACTATCTTCAACAACTTGTAAATATATGTAATGGTCACCCGTTATTGAATAATAATAATAATAATCCCATCAAACCTGTAAATAATAATCTGATCAATACCCAACCATCAGAAAATGAAAATCTATTTATTACTAGAAATCCAGTAAATGTTAGAAATCTACCAACTAGTAGAAATTTAATTAATGGTGGAAATTTCTTGACTGAGACAGTTCAAATATGCGATAGTAATCCTAAAAATAGAACTGTCAGTTATGCTGATATTACAAGATTAGCTCCTATTAAAGCTCAGCCATCTATTAAGAAAACAATAGCAAAACAAAAATCAACAACTAATAAGATGAAAAGAAATATGGCAACTAATACTAGACCTAACAAACGTAAATCTAATTACAATCTTAATCAAATAATTAATGTAATTTGCTACAAAGATGTTACTAACGAATTTGTTGAACAAATTACAGACCTACTCGGTGACTCTGTAATCATTAGAGTTAATCGATACTGTAATAATATTATTAATG